TATGAAATAAATGTACAATGTGCTGGGATCAGAACAATGCACAGCACCTTAGTTGAATTTCATCCCATCTCTAGCTTTGTGCTTCATTAAACAGCCGGGAGCTCCCAGGTTGACTTAATTGCTCTTGGAATGTTTTTAACAGATCTGACAGTTGATGGGTACTTTACAAACAAAATTACCTTTCTCTCACAGACAGTAGTCTTAATTGTTCCTTATTTCATGTTTAAAGTGTATAAAATATAGCCTATTTGATCTTGGACAAAGTTTTAAAAAATTAGCAAGCAAAACCATATTGTAACCCTACTTGTAACATTAAAGGATAGTATAAAAGGAAGCATAAAGAAGTGGACACATTCTCACTCATCTTCTGTTTTCTTTTCTTTTCTTTTCTTTCAGTTGAGTGTTACTCACTTAGTCAACCAGTAGGGTCTTCTCCCTCTGAATTCCTTACCTTTGCAGATCACCAGACGTTCATGTTAACCTAAATGTTCCATTTACCACCAGTCCACATGGCCACAGCCAGGTCAACACTGACCTGGCTCTGCTCCAGGAAGTCTTAATTTGTTCAAATGTACTTCTAGCTATTGGTAAACCTTTTGCTCAGCCACACGTCATAACTCTTAAATCAGCTTTTCTTTATTGTGTATACATTGAATCTCATGTTACACTTCAGAACTCTGAGCCAAAGACAAGTAAATAACTTGGGAGCCAGAGATGGGGGGAGAGGGAGCAAGAAGTCATAGCTGTATAAAGTACTTGAAAGGCCTCATTAGATGTCAGTGTAGCTGCTCCATTAGATATCAGTTGTCACTGTCAACTGATCTGTTTGACTCTGTGGTACTTTGAGAGATTGCAGTTGACAGAACAATTATCTACCACCAGTTCATGTGACAAAGAGGTGCTTAATTTTTTTGATCTAGAGGTGTTGACTTGCTTTGGTGGATCTTATACCTCCCTTTCACACGTGTGTCCCAGCTGTTCCTATGTCTCAGATCTATGCTTTACCCGTTGCTGTGGTTAGGGGGCTAATGTGTGAATTCAGCTGAGAACTTGTAGTGGCTTCCTTACCCACCAAATTGGCATAATGGAGAACACCCTAGGAAGAGGTAAAGTGCTGTTTGTCAGTGTTTTCAATGGTACCACTTCAGAGATATCAGCATAAGAAACCTTCAAGCCAGAATTCTGAGGAAGTGAAGCATTTTTTTTTTAAGTGAAAGCAGGTCTTCAGCCTTAGATCCTTTGCTTTACACTGGATCATCACAAGTGGCAGTGGCAAAAGGTACTTGTGGAAAAGCCTGCAGCTGCTCCTCAGTGAAAACAGCAGTTTGTCTAGCCTTTCAATTACTGCATAGTCACGTTAAAAGGGAAAATGTTCTTTTCTAGTTTACGTCCTTTTTTTAGTTTTGTTTCGTTTTTGTCTTTTGATCTTTAGAGTCTGCCACTAAAATTGCTGCTATTAAGATTTGGATTTTTGAAAGAGGATATGTAGTCTGGAAGTGATAGTAGGATGCTGGACCTCTTTCTAACTTGGTTTCCCAAGCTGCCTGACACATATCAACTGCTGAGCCTGCCTCACCTCTTCTATTATAAAATGTTGATGTTATTTACATACTTCAAAAGGACTGGTTAATTAACAACAGCTTTTAGAGTGATTGCAAGATGGAAAAACATGTCAATTACTGCAAACAGTAAAGGCACTGCAGGCTAATTTTCATTGATGATAATGTTGATTAACAAATTTACAGCTCTAATAAACACAGTTACTGCTTTTGAGTGCAGAAGCAGGTGAAGAGTTGCCATGAGAACTGATGCAGCTGAGTGTGCTGCAGTTCAGCACTACTGATGTCTCTTTATTATTATGATAATTGTATTCATTTATTACTGGGACTTGATTTACAAAAGTGAGGGAATTCCACTCCCTATTAACTCTGCCCCATGGTGTACATGCTGTGTGTCATCTCAAAGGAGCAAGCACCTTATGACAGTCTCATACCCCCTTCTCCTTCTTCCAGCCACCTTGTGATGGGCTCTCTCCCTGGTGGATGCTAACACAAAACCAACAGAGGTGTGTAAAGCACCATACAAACAGGATGCTGTACAGCATGAGGAATAATTTTTAAGTTCTCAGTGCTAGTCACCAACACCCTGAATTTGTTTAACCTTCTTTTCTTCAAGAGGTGTCAGGTTTCCATTTTTTCTATGTTGAGGCATTTTGCAATGACTTAGGGCAATACTAAGAATCTTCCACCCAGTAGTTTGAGAATTTCAGGACACTTCTGGTTTTCATATGTCCCTACCCATTTTATTTTTTTTTTTTTTAATATCCAGCTCCAGTAAATGGTCCACTGGGTAGTGACAAATGAATTAATGTCAAAGTAATCTTTTCTATTTCCGTAAAACAGCTAAAACTCTAATTTAAGAGGGGTAAATATAGGTACAAACCTCATCTCATTCTTTTCAAACTCTGTCTTGTGAGTTAATGCCATATTAGTTACTTGTTGCCTTAGCAACACAATTAATACCATATTTTAAAAAGGAAAATACTTTCTCTTGAGTGATGGGCTGAGCAGCCTTTCTGTGCTGCTCTGTTCTTATTTTCAGTGAAATATTGACTTTCTTTTAAATAAGAAAATTATGTTTTATGCATTTCCCTTTTGTCGACATTATGGTAATTTTAACCAAAGCAGTTGCTGAAAAATGTGCACTTTTGACATAATTTGGATTTCAGATGATCAGCTGAGAAGAGCTGTCATTCTTGTCCTTTGCATGTCACATAGCTATGGCTTAATGTAAAAGGTACATATGTTGTAGGGAGCTTGGTCTGGAAGAACAGTTCTGTCTCCTTTCAGCTGTGTGCTGTAGCCATCAAGGTAGGGCAAACTGCCTCTCTCTCTCCTGTCTGCCCACCTAGGGCAGCATTGGCAAGGGAGTAGCTTGGATTGCTGTCATGGGCTTCATTGGGGTTTGTGTGACTTTGGTCCCACTCATGGTCAACAGATCAGGATTTAGCTGTTTGAAGGTCTAGGCCATGAAATTTGAACTCCAGAGTCTGACAGTGCTGGGCTTTTCATAACAGATATGCTACAGTACCAAGACATGGGGGAACAAGGCTTGGCTCCAGAATCCCATAGGTAGTTGCAACAGCGGAGGGCTGTCTTGCCCTTTTACCAAGGATAAATCGGAAAAAGATCTCTAAAGTCATCTGTGCACTGTGGAGGGACATTATGTGTTTTAATAATTCTGGTTTTGCCTGAATACCAAAGCTGTATGATCAAACTTTATACCCTGGGAATTATTTGCAGCTGCAAATAAGTAGCTTAGTTTTCATGCGTAGTCAGTGAAAAAACAGACCCTTTCATAGAGCAGTTCAGAACCAGTACTTCCCTTAGTGCTCCAAGGACTGGTCTCTCCCTCTCTCCGTTGCCTAAAGACAAAGCCTACACATACTATTTTGCTAATAGAGGCACTTCAGTTATGTGACTAAAATGATGCATAGGAGTAGTTGCTGCAGGACCATTGCAAATTGTCATGGTGACATGCCATTGCCTCTTTACAAGGTGGAAATTGCCATAGTGAAATGACATTGTGTCTTTACAAGGCAGATATGGAAAGAACAGCACTTGATTTAGAAGATCTGCTCCCTGTGCATATTCAGAAACAAGTCTGCTAAATAAGTGACTTAATGGGAGTTTACTGTCTTATTCCTGTTATCACTGCACAACCAAGTAGGCAGACAGTAGCCTGGTTTGTCTCTACCATCAACAGGTAGTCAGTCACTTACAAAGTCCAAATCAGTTATAATACATAATGGCACAAAGATGCCAATGAGAGTATAATCTGAACACAAGGTGCTATATTAATAAGGGCCTGTTTTTGATTAGTAAAGCCTTTAATCCTGCGAAATGGTGCATCTAAGACGAAGGACCAGATTAATTTTAGACACCAGTTGAGCTTGGAAGGCTGAACTGAGCTGACCTGATGAACAGCTGATAAACATAGAAAATCACAATGTCATTTTAACAGGATTTGTATGAAAATGAATAGTTCTTTTCCTTGAATGGCTGCTCACAGCTCATTGGCAGAAATACAATTTCAGTTTTATTTTTCATTTCATGTACCAAAGTCAAGAGTGAGTGCTTTAAAAGAGAAGCTATACAAATGAATTCATAATATTAGCACAATGCAGTATGTCATTAACAAGATAAGTAATGAGGTTTGGGAATAATGTGAACAGCTTGACTTTTCCCTGACTATTACTTAAGAACTTGAAGTGTGAGGTGTGTTAGTTAATGAAAACCAACCTACATGAAATAATGACATAATGTAAGGCCTCTGTGCCTTTTTATCACCACAGTAAAAGCAGAAAATACATGCCACCCGTTGACTGATCTCACATCACAATATTTTGATTACTATTAATAGTCACATGCCTCAGTAATTTTGAGGAATCTGGTACATCAGTCCTTCTCCCACTGTGTTTGGTGGCAGAACTAAGCCTCCTATAGATTTCAGTAACTACAAAATGTAGCCTTAAACCATGAACCTAGAAACAAGAATATGTGCTTGACTGAGTTGTCTGTGTGTTATGATGGCAAAGTCCCTTGGTCCTTAGTCAAAAAAATTTCTTATTCCCATTAATTATAATTAGGGCTAGATGAGAAACAAAATTTTGGTATTCTATATTTTGAAATAAAGGATTTCTATTTAGAAGAAAGTGGAAGGGGATGCTTTTTGTATGCAGCACTCACCTAAAAAGTGGGAGTTGCAGCTAAGACGCTGAGCTTGCAGCTGGAAGCGTGTGCTTGGTGGGTGTAAATCTCTCTGCTAGCAGAGCCAGAAAGGATTATAGTCTCAGCATTTGTTATTTTACATTTTCAGCTGAAGCTGGTAGCTCCTCTCTACCTATTGTGTTTTACACATTTTATCCTTAACAGCAGGAGTCAACCACTGCTTTCAATACTCTGCTGACTTTCTTTCTCACCCCCTTGATACTTTTTCAGACCTACAGCTCCCAGTTGTCACCCCAGAGTGCTCTGGCCAGCCTGGGCTGTCAAGGGCCAACGCCACAAGGAATATGTCCCATGGCAGTGGAAGCACTGACAAGACCCATACTGCTCATCTGCGGTACCAGTGGAAGCAGAGCACGAGCACACGGCCGTAAGCTAATGCTACCCTACCCTCAGAAACCACAATTGCTTCATCGTGCAGTTAGTTGGGAGTCAGGGACGCAGAATGTAGAGACAGAGGAGACCACAGCAGACAGAGCCCTTGGATGTGTCGCATCTCTTATATTTGCGTGTTGGTTTTTTTCTGTGCTAGCCTGGCTTGCATGTGTTGTGTGTGAACAGCTAAGTCTTTACGTTAAGGGCACTGAAACACCTAGACAGATGAATACAGACCCAGAGACACCCCTAAATGTTTAGGTCTCATGGTGACTGAGCTATTTCCTGCTTCCATCCCTGCCTTGCCTCTACCACAGACACACATATGCAGTCCTTTGCACAGAGACACTCCCTCAGGTGAAGAACCAAGAAGTATTTGAGAACTGGCTGTTCAAGTGCTGTTTCCTGTATTACAGTATCTCACACATTTTATGTTCTGAGGACCTACCATTCCACAGAGGAGAGAAAAAGGTCTCTTTAAGATAGATATTATTAGGCTCCCTTAAGAAATAGCAAAATTGAGGTCTGGAAAGGCCACATATTGCCAAAGATTACACAGAAACGGGAGGAGAGCCCTGTGCCTTTTACCAGTAATCAGCCTTAGAGACCCATAATTTGTATAGTCATCTTCTCATTGCATTTGCTATGAGATAGATTGATACTCAGAGATTTTAACAGGCAGAATAATAATCACATTTGTGATTGTGCCCAAGTATAGCTCAGATTTCCCCAAGTAATGAGCTTTTAAATAACAGATTTTTCCCTTGAGTTTGTTTTTTTCTGTCCTGTTTCTATGGCTGATTCTTTTCATGTAGGCTATGGGAGCTGTAGGCCAGTATGTAGAGAGCCATGTCATTTCCTAGACTAAGTTAACTTGCATAGTTCTTTTATAATTCCTTTATGTTTAGCTGATGTATTGTAGGTTATTCCTAGGTGTCGTAGTCTTTCATAATATTTGGAATTATAGTTTATGGCTTTCATTAGGGAAAGCATGCCATACCACATGTATGTGTCCCTTTGTTACATTGAAGAAAGTGCTAACAGTAGTGCAGTCTTTCCATAGGGTTGTTTTGGGATTTTTTCTGAATTCACTACAAATCGGTGTTAAATCTGGGTATTCTGCCTATACTTCTGTTATTAAGGTGCTTGGAGTTTCTGAATTTTTTTACCTTCACTCTGAATGTCCTGGGTTTGCAACAATTACAGTATGCCCATAATGCTTTTGCCCATATGTAGTCTCAAACATAACTCCCTCCTAACATAGTTACTTTCTATGTATGGAAATCAAGATTTAAAAATTCTGAAAGCAATAAAGAATTGATGTAAATCTTTGTTCCAGCCTGCTTGGTTTCATCTACTGTGTTGCTTAGGCTGGGGGAAAAAAGGCTAATTTCCTATTTCTGCTAATTTCACTATTTCACTATTTTTCTTATAGCTCATTTTCCTCATTTGCAGAAGCATTTAATTAATGCTACGTATTTTTATTACTTTCCAGGAATCAAGTATCAGCCTCACTAGGCCACAAGGACATCCTAAAAGCTCAAGACCTTTCTGTCATCATCAAAGCATATGTGCTTGTGACATCCTTAACACCTCTGCGGGCATTCATTCATTCAACCACCACTGTCTGGCATCCACCCAAGAAGAAGCACTTTTCTGTAAAGGTAAAATGTTTAATTTCCTACTTTTTTCACCTTTCAGGCAAAGTTTGGAGACAGAAAACCAGATAATATCTTTCTTCTCTTTTGCCCCTTCTTTATTTGCTGTACACAGCTGACAGTGAATATTCTCCTAATGTACAACTTTCATTTCTCAGAATGAGTGAGGTTTGCTTCATGAAGCAGGGAAGAGTTGCCCTGTGCAGTGGGGATTATGAAGGGCCCTGGGAGCTGCTTTCCTCAGAGCCTATTTTTATTGGTAACATTTGACAGCAGTTGCAAGGTTGGAGTTTTCTCTAAAGCACAGCAGTGGGGGTGCTGTCATGCAGTAATGTCTTTTGCCATGATATTGACAGTGTTGTAAAAAAGAAAAGTAAATATTTAAAACAGTTTGTTTAGGTTTCTTTTTTAGGTGCAGTAAAACAGAATGGAGGAGGGTCAGGGCACTTCTAAATAAGGGGAAGGAAGTATACCATGGAGAGGGTGGGCCTCCCATGATCTCAGTATTATGAAGAAGGATGTTTCACAGTTGCCTTAATTGGACAAACTCTGGACATCTCCAAGTGTCTGGAGGGACCTCTCTTTCTCCACATCTAGTTTGCTCAGCAGTCCTATGGATTTCCAAACATGCCTTCCCATTCCTTTTTCTTTCAGCAAGGAACTGTGCTTGCAACATGGCAGCTCTTTGTGAGGCAACTACAATTCTGCTGCTGCTCCTTTCCTTTTGAAGGAATAAGGTCACACAGTAGCAGTTGTTTCTTGAGGTCACCTAGACCAGCTCCTGCAGCAGCCATCTGAGGATGAGTGTGCTTTTCACTCCTGGAGTAGGAGCAGGTCTTCGCTTTGGATCAGTCTGAGTGGTGTAGTGTCACTGTCAGGACTCTTGATGATGCCATCCATTTGGTATGTTCTACAATTTTAGCACTGCCAAATTTAAGTGCCTGATCTAAGCTCTGGTTATTGGAGAAACAGACATCTCTAGAGAAGAACTCATCCCACCCAATTTAGACACTAATTTTGGAATGAGTTGAGTTTCCTGATAAAAGTGTCTGCTTCCTTCCATGAGCTATGACATTCTTAGAGAAAATGCCAAAATCTAGATTGCCAAAATTAGGTGAGATGAACCCAATTTTCTTTCTCTTTTGTAATTCTCTTTCTTTCCTCCCTTGGAAGCTATGGAAGTCCATGGAGACATATTATTTTGCCATCTATTTTCCTCTATTTACATTTAGTAAGACTCATGGTCACTCGATTTCAAACCTTGGCATTCAATTTTGGTTTATGTTTATTAAAATAGCACAATGTCCAGCATCATCACTATCGCAGCTGAAGTAGGGACTACTTTAAAGGCTAGTAGTCATTAGTAATTGTGATATAGCTCTGTAAAATAATTCCCACTGAAGGAAGTCTTCTGAACAGGGTTCCAGCCACCATTTACAGAGCACTTTGGCAGCTGAAGAAGCAATAAAAATGATAGATAGAAGCAGCAGCACATATACAGTAGTTCAAATATGGTTATGGCCGCAGTGGTGTTATATCTTCCACAGCTTTAGGCAGACTTGTCAAAATGGCAAGAAATAAACAAAAAATAGACACCACAGAAAGCACATTTGTAGTGATGTATAGATTGAAATGCAAATTAACAAAACGATGGAAAGTGGGGTGTATAAGACAGTCTGTCAGCATAAACATTGTGCCCTATAAAGAAACTTGGAAGAGTCAGGGAGTCTCCAGGAGAAGTGAGACACTGGGAATTCATGGTGTGGCCAGAAAGCACTACTGGGAAAATCATAAAGAGCCTTCTGTTCTTGGTGTAGAGACATCAGGCAGAAGATCATCAGTCAGAAAACAATACTTAGGAGAAGGTTTGAATTCAACTGTTGATATCCTTTGGGATGAGATTACATAAAATTGCTCATAAACTTCATGGAGCCATCACTTGTTGCCAGTGGGACATACAATGCCAGCAGAGTGATCTCCACTCCCAAAGTAGGCAGGGGAGCTGCGCATGTTTGTATCAGGCAAGGAACTGAGTCCAGAAAGTTCCTAAACTTTCAGTTTCTGCCAATTCCATTGTGTAGGAAGGAAAATTGCTTGCTACCCTGTGAGGCTCCAATAAAGACAGAAAGGTTCTCTGAGACCTGTTCTTCTACTGATTGACAGAACTGATGTCACTGGGGACTGAGCAAGCCTATAGAGAAGAATTGGATCTGGAAAAATTTGCTAGTGTTTGATGTATTTTTCCCCAGGAGCAGCTGACTGAATTTTATTTTTTTTTAAATGAACAGATGAGAATAATTTTAATGTGCTGCATTGCTGTCATGGATGTGCATCTTTCAGTAATGTTGCACAATAATTTAGAGACATCATCAGTGTATAAAGGCCCCTGGTCAGCAAATTTTCTCATACCAGTATAATTAAACTATTATTGATGAGAAATTAATCCACAGGTGTGGTTAACTTGGTTACAACATTACTATCATAAACTCAGTATGTTAAGTTTAAAATTTTATCTCCTATGTACAACAACTCTTTATGGTTGCTGGAAGCAACCAGAATGTGGTATATATGAAGGAGAGACTTTTAAAAAGACTGGAGATGGAGTAGCAGGTGATATCAAATGATTAAGAGAAACTGTGGAAAGAAAAAGCAGGATTTTAATGAATTAAATAATACTGCATTACCCACTGCTTCTTTGTTAGTAAACTATTGTAAATGATTTTTACAACTCATATCTATTTAGCCTAATCACAGTGGCAAGACTTCAGAATGACTCCTTGAATAAGCATTGGCCAAATGGCAGTTCAGGAAGAGTTCAACTGTGTTTTACTCACCATCTGCCAGGTTTTCTCTAGATTATACATATTCTAGTATCTCAGTTCAGAAAGTAAAAGGGGGTAAATCCTGAGCTGGCATGAGAATTTTGTATGTTGTCAAGGGGTGACAGAAGTGCAACATTACATTTGGACCCTGGTTGGGAAGATGGGGGAGATGCAGGGGAGAGAATGGCGTTCTGCCACACAAATGTTTTAATACGATACTTGCGTGATAGCCTTATTTCCTTGAGGAAATTTGGAAACCCCTTATTTAGACCATCTGTGTGTTGAAAAATTAATAATAAAATAGAAGCATTCTATTTTGCATACGGTACCAATTAAGAGATGGGTCTCTGTCAATGTATGCAATAATTCCCTTTGTGGTAATTGACATTATGCGTGTGTATTGAGCAGAAGGCTGACCCTTGAATAATTTTCTGTTTTATGGAAGCTGGTGTGTGAAGCAGTCATTTATGTTTAATTATCTCAAGGTTTAACACACTGTGAAGTGCTTCATTTGCCCTGACATAAACCTTTCATAGCCTGGCCCCAGTTCTTAATGAAGGGATGCACTTTTGTAGACTGTAGCAGTGCCACATCCTGCATCACCTGGGAAGGCTCTTCTGTGCTGTCGGCAGCTTCCCACAGCCCCGGCTCTGGCCCTCTGGCCCTTCTCTCATCCAAAATAGACAGTCAGGTGCCTCCTGGATTTGAATTCCTTGACTGGTGCTCTTGCATAACCCTCGATACCCCCAGCTGAAACTATGCTCTTAAGTAATTTTCCAACTGTGCTGTGAAGTAAACATAATTTATTAAAGCAGTTTGCTGTTCAACTTGCTGTGGTGCAAGTCACTATAACTGTCGCTGAAATTCTCTCTCTGTGTATTGAGCATTTGGAAACTTGAGTAAAGAGTACTATTTTTTTATATTTAACATATATACAAATAAAACTGGACCCTCACGTCATCAGAAAATACATCTTTTAAGATGACGTGGAGGTCTGGCTTAGAGCCGAACACTGTGAGAATTAGGTTGCAGTATTGCCCTCAAGTGGCCTATTTTGATACTACTTCAAGTAATAGCCACAGATAACGTGAGGGAATGCAAACGCAGATAAAGAGAAAAATGCTTATAAAGAGCACAAAGGCTCAGGATTTTTTCTCTTTGTTTTATTTTTTAATTCCATATTATTTCCCTGCCACTTAGCAGGAGCAAATACAGAAGAAAATTATCATCAACTCTTAATCAATTAGATTGCAGGGTTATTTGGGAATAAAAATAAATTTTTAAAAATTGTTCATTAGTAAAAATTGTTCTTCTGTAAGAACTTAGCACACGAATTTCATTGTTCTTGCAAGTAGCCTCTGCAGAGAATCAAATGCTGTAATGCTCCTCTTCCTGGGCTACTGAGCATAACATAAATGCCATCTCTGTCTTCTGCCCTCATAGTGTCTAGAGCCCTATCATTTCTTTTTTTCACTGATATAAGAGCGAAAGTCTGTCTGAACTGGGGGAGATCAAAGACATGCTTAGTCTGACATTCTGTTTCTGTCAACAACCAGGCAAGAAAGCACCATGAAACTGTGTAACAGGACAGGCGTAAAGTGGTACTCGTCCCTAGGCGAACTATAGCTATTTCTGGTAACCTGAAAGGCTAGAAACACAAAACTGGAGGTGGAATATATCTCTTTATGTTTAATATGCTCCAGTGGACTTCCATGCCATGCAGTTCTCTACTAGAGTTTTTAATCTATTGATGCTTTTGGTCTTCCCAATGTCTTGTGACAATGAGACTCCACAGATTATTTATGTGTTGCTTAAGAAAGAATATTTGTTTGCTTTAAAACTTGAACCTGATTAATTAATTGCATATCCCTAATTCTTGTCCTAAGAGAAAGAATGAGTAATCTTTCCTTCTTTACCTACCATTGACATGCAGTGCACAAATAAAGTTTAAATTCTTCCTGGAGTTCTCTTCTGCTCTTCTCATTATGAACATCCTAGTGTAGCTAGTAAGAGGTCTAGACTGATTATTTTTTATAACATGTGGGTATGTCATAGTAAATCTTTACACCATTATCCAGGCCCTTACCTCTCTGCTTTTCTCCTGGCCCACAGATCCTCTTGCTCTGCCAGTTCAACCCAGGCAGCTCTGTAAGCATGTCCCTCTGTGGCTCCTAACTTTCACAG